CTAATTAAATTTTAATTATGAATGTGTGCCGTTGCAACACCATTGGTGATTCTGTCTTCTCCCACCATTTCACTAGTTTCTTGCAGTGGTACAGTCTGCAGGGTTGTGCCTGCGTGAAGCTAGGCTAATGAGCAAGACACATGGAATAAAGACCTACTTATGCTCTAACATTAGAAAGCCAGCCTAAAAGCTGGCTAGTTTCTTTCCTCTTCTGATCCAAAACATTTGAATTGCACACTTGTACCTGAAGGATAAATGTGAAATGGATAACTGGCTATATGATCTTCCTCGTAATTTGTTTGTACAGTATAAGGCTACAAAATATATTCATAAAGTTTACTGAGGGTATATTGTCTTCCCAGGAAGGCGTATTTCTATCATTGCTTTTGAAAGACAAATCTCCCTAACAGGTGTACTTTAAAAAGTATACTACTAAAAACTGCAGAAAGTTTCTAAGATATTTTTCTCTTCAGCCCTTATTTGCTGCTGCTACATTCTTTCAAACGTTACTGGCTAGTTCATTATTGAATATGTTAACTTGCTTCGATGCTGTTTTTACTTGGCAGTCTTTTGTTTCCTGAAGAAACATCTGTTCAGTGGACACTCTATGACTTAGTGATTACACTGAATATTCCTGAGCATCAGCTGACTGTACATCTCTATAAACAGCATAAGGAAAATTAAGTTTTGTTCAAGGGACATTGAGGAGCTTGCAAATATTCTGTACTCTGTCTTCAAGCCAGCTAATGAATGAATTGCAATGACTTATTTCAGAATCTTGAAGGAAAAAACTTTAACTTCAGATATGGTAATCTACTTTAGCAACACTGTTAGTCTTTGTTCTCCCCGTATGAGAGGCTAGTAAAATGGCTGATAGGAGAGATTAGCATATTCTCTTTATCTTGTCACTCCAGTGGTTACACTGTGAGATTAGACTGCTAAACCAAAATTGAACAAAGCAGGGCTGTTAGACAGTTACTCTATCATATGCAAAACAGTCCTAGACTCATTAGCACTTCCAGTTATTCATTGTTTGTTTCTGTCAAGCAGAACTTGTGACTTGCAAAAAAGAGCAGTTCAGAATCACAGCCTGTCTTCTTTCCATCTAGCAATATGACATGTAGTGGGTCTAGACTTGAAATATTAAATCTGGAAGGAAAGTCCATTCTGTTTCGGTAGCAGGAATATGTAAAGGCATGGTATTTTAGGTGTGATCTGATCATTGGCACTATGGCACCGTTACTGAGAAATACCGTACTGCATGATGTTGAAATCTGCATTGGAACTTTCTTAGTGAAATTGTAATCTAGATTACATCTTAGATTTCAGTTTCCAGTAGACCACTTAAATCAAATCTTTAAAAATCACAGAAAATTATATGGAAAAGCTTCAGCACACCAAACAGTCCTGAAGTCTCCACCACTGTGGTGCTACTATTTTTTTTTTCCTAAAAACACTGAAGGACGCGTCACTTCAATCACGAATTTTATTTTTCTTTCCCACACATCTGCAGAGGTGACTTTTCTTAGAGCCGTAATATCCACTATGAAAAGCAGACTTCTAGAGATCTTGAAGTTAAAATTTTTCCTATTTTATTTTTTTTTCACTTTGGTATTCTTGCTAAATTAATAGTCAAAATGCCTGGTTAAAACAGTTGTGGCTTTAACCTTGTATTCAAAAAGGGTCCTCCAAAACCTGTGGCTCTTTGAGAGGACAGGCTAGTATGCTGTCCACTCAGACTCTCGGACTGTATTTATAGATGTGTTCTGAGTTCTAAAGATGCAAACACTGGAAAATACAGAGAGGTATGATTCTCAGTAACTTTCCTTAAAAATCTTCCTATGAGCTACACAGGGCTGCGAGATGGGGCTCTATGCTTACCAAGCCATGTTGCAATCTTGCATCTTACTTGCGTAATGAGAAGTGCTTCAGATTTCTCGTTTTCAGTCAGCTAGTCTGTAGTAGAATACAGTCACCCTTCTTTCTTGTATACTGCTTGGAAACTGCCCCCAGTAGAATGTCACACAGCCAGTCTCATGGAGAAAGAGAAGTGACATGTCTTAAATAATCTTCATATATTCCACTGCTGTCCTTCCCCTTTTGGTTTTTGGGTTTCTTTATATTCTGGAAGTTAACAGAAAACACTGCAGTTGATTCTGCACCAGTCTTTACTTGACTGCTCACTATTTGAAGTGTAAAGAATAGAGCAAAAAGGCGTGACTGGCAAAAATGTCCTGCACTTTAGGTGCACCCATGCAATACATACAGGAACAATGCCTTTGAAAGAAATTAATTTACTGTTCCAGAAAGTAACTTCTCTTTTTGGCATCCGAACCTTGTCTCGAAAGTATTTTAATTAAAACTTGTTAAAATGTTGGCCCAAATTGTTCGTGTTATTTTTTTTTTTTTCCTGCTGTGAAGGTGATGCTGAAAGATGGACAGTGGTTTGAAGAGTGGAAAGATGTACCTTCTAATAGACAAACACAAATACGCCCTACTATGTTTCCAGTAAAAGAAGAAGAGAAGCTAAAGGCAATGAATCTAGAGCGCTGGTAAATTTTCCCAGAGTAGATTTTATGAAGCTTAAATGGTTACCTTTTATGCTGATGGGCAAATTATAGTAAGGCATTCAGATTAAGAACGTGTTGCAGCATAGACCTGTGCTTTTATTAGTGAATATACTCTGATTGTTTCATATGTAATGACATTACACAACAGTTAGATTCTAGTGATGTCAGAGAAATTATTGAAGGTTGCTTACAACAAAAAAAAAAAAACACTCATGCAAACAGGTCTAATTATTTACAACCAATAGAGATACATAGGCAAAATGACTAGAAAAGTATGTAAAACTTAAATCTTTCAGCAGTGTGACTGTTTTTCTATGAAAGATTTCCCACAGCTATTCCAAAAATACAGTGTTTAAAAATGACTCATTAACGCTCAGAAGTGTATGGTGAAATGAGTGCATTGCACTGATGCAGGTTATTTGCCAGCATGCTCTATTTGAGATCCTCTTTCTAGTATGATCAATTAATCTGTGCAATCCTAAAAAGAATACTTAGTTTACTCGAGAAGTAAATATAAATGTGACACTGCTAGTACTCTCTGACAACCTGAAAGCTGATGATGAACAGATGGCAACCTTTCTTTTTCTAGTCTTAGGATATTGCCACATCACCAGAACACAGGAGGTTTCTTTGTGGCTGTATTAATAAAAAAATCTCCAATGCCATGGAATAAACGTCAGCCTAAGGTAATTTCTCTTTAAAAAGCTAAAAGGATAGCCTTTTATAACCTTTCTGGAATGTTTTTGAAAGTTTCCGTAATAGAAATGTAACTATTGTTCGGTATGTACCCTTGAGTTATATTTCAGTGTGTCAGGTAAAAATAAATTCCTAAATCCCCTGAGAACTTTAAAAAAATCTCCTTTGAAAGTAGGAAAAAGCAATTCTGCCATCATAATAAAATAGCAAGATAAAGGTTGAACCTAAACTTAAGGCTATGAAAGAATGCAGAAGCAGATTAGATTTGGTAGCTGAAGCTGTTACTGCTCTCAGCTGTGTGTGTGTGTGGTCCTTCAGCTGCAGTTTTTCTACTGTGCTGTAGTAAGCTAATTCTGATTTCAGTGCATCTTACTCTATGGCTGGAGGGCCAGCGATTCGCTAGAGTAGAGTCTAGGAGGAATGGATGTAAAGCTGTGAAGTGTAGCAGCTTCAGCCGTCTGACTTGCATCCACTGTTTAACCAGCAGGGTTTAAAGTTGTCAGATTTTGTTTGATCTCTTAGATTATTCGTGTCTTTGAGAAAAACTTCTTAGGTGAATCTTTTATTACTGTTGCCTTTGATTCAATTTGCTTTATTGGATCACCTTATGAGTAAAATTTAGGAGGCAATAAGGAAAAAGCATGCATGCAGAAGCAAGCTTCATCTGAATAATTCATACTGTTGTAAATTTCATGCTGTTGTACTCTCACAGAAAGCATGCAGCAAGATGTGTGTGTTATTTTGAGTGCTAGGAGGAAAAGAACTGATCCTGAATTAAAATGGTCTTCTCTGTGAATGCTTGAGCATTTTATAAATGGTACAGGAATACCTTTCTTGGAAAGTCAGTGAGAAATTGTCCAGAGCAGTGCTGCAGGTAATGCAAATTTTGATGGAATGTTGACTTAGTAGATAGAGTAGTTCCCTAAATGGATCTTTTTAAATGTACAAATTAATGAGAAGTAAGCATGTGCAGAGGGAACGTAGGTACCTTTTATTACCAGTTAGATACTACTCTTGCTTTGTTGAAAGTACTTACTGTAATTTGAAACAGGTTAATCAGAAATTACCACAGAGAACAGGAGATACTATAGTGACAGCAACTAATTCAGAGGATGGTTCTGAAGACATCATTGAAGAACCAATACTTGCAGAAAATGAAGAGTCTAAGAAAATGCAAAAATTGCAGAATTCAGACACTGAGCAAAACAAAAAGGAAGGAGTATGTGGGTAAGAGACATGTCTAAATATTTCTATTTTAACAGCTTCCCAAACGCTGAGTATTCTTTAGTTCTTAAATAGTTGGATTTATTTTAAAAAATGGACAAATAAGCAGTTCTTGAATATGCTCGACTGTCTTACATGGCCATATTTTCTGTCTTGTATTTCAGCAAATTAGGAAAACAACTACCTCTCTTGCTAGCATTTGCAAAGTCTATTAGGCCTAACTTCTGTGTTAAGGAAAAAACTACTTTCAAAAATGAAGCTTTGGAAGTTCTTTAGCTGTTACTCCCTCAGTCACTCTGCTACTCCCTCACAAATCTCTGCTTACTTGTATGGGCTTTCTGTTCTCAAGCACTGCTTTTGTTTTCTTATTTTAAGAAAATAAATTGTGGGTTAGTACTGTCTTGGTTAATGAAGCATAAGAAAATGCCAGTCTTCATTGCATATTATTGCTATTTGTAAAGTAAGTATTGACTGAGTGAAATAAATCTGATTTTAAACCAAGCATTTTTACTAAAATTTGGCAATGTTGTGTGTTTTTTAGACCACCACCATCTAAAAAAATGAAATTGTTTGGTTTTAAAGAGGACCCGTTTGTGTTTCTCCCTGAAGATGATCCATTGTTCCCTCCTATCCAGTAAGGAAAAAATTTCTGTTTTAGCAGTAAGAATCCTAGTTGTTCAGGAGTATTAGTAATTTAGTTCATCAGGAAAAATGGATCTAGTTGTTCATACATAATTTTTTTCCCCTAACTTTAGACCAGGTGCCCCTCCCCTCAGCACTTAATACTTTTCTTAAATGAAGATAGCCAACAAAAATAATCTGGATTCAGTAGGCCATAGAAGATAGCGCTGGAGTTTTTCAACTGAAACTTGGTGTCTATGACAGCTAATATTTTCTGATATCATGAGTCTTAGAAATGCTAATACCTGTTGTGGAGCTGAAGTGTCAAGTGACTGAAGGTTTTTGCAGAGATCACTCCAGGAAATAGACTAGTGAGTGCATTTTGAGTATCTGATTTCACTGTTCAGTTAATCAAGCGTTAATGAGTATTTTGGCCCCAGGAAATTTTATGCATTGGACCCTTCATTTCCCAAGATGAATTTACTAACTCGAACTCAAGAAGGGAAGAAGAGACAGCTGTACATGGTTTCTAGGGAGCTAAGGAATGTGCTTCTGAACAACAGTGAGAAGATGAAGGTATGGTTCATCTCTTCAGATTTTCACAACAGAATTCATGAGCGTCGTTTTCGTCGTGGATGCCTCCCTTCAACCTTGTTGCAGAGTCTATTGCTGATACAGAGAAGTAGCCCTCTGCTTTTTTTTCTTAGCCTGCATGAATGTTTTCCTCTTTTTCCATCCTCTTTTTAAGAGGTAAAGAATTGTCTCTGAAAGATAAGTTTTGGTCTCCAAGATTACAAACAAATGGTTGTTGTTAGTTGGAAGGGAACTTAAGAATAGAGGAAGGGAGTATAACTGCTGTATGTGTACCTGAATTATTATGTGTTCGTCAGGTGCTTTCACAAATATTCCAAAGTTTACTTTGACACTGTTATGTTTATATGAGCCCCTTAATTACGAAAGTGTAGTAAGCTTTGAAAGCCCACCAAAAATAATGGATAACTTCAGTTGAACTAATACCTGGTTGTGTTAACACTGGGGCATTATGTGAAAGTAATTGACTGACTTTTACAATAGTATGGTAGATGCATGTGTACTCAGTACAACAACTGAACGTTTTAAAAAGTTGTTAAGAAACTGAAAGATCATGGCATAAGTAGCAGTTTGTGTGAATTAGAAATTCTGGGAAAATGGTTTTACTTTTTTCACATGATTTCCAATGGAAAACACCTCGCAAATGCTAAGGAGTTATCTTAAAAGTGATAGAATAATTTAGGTTAGAAGGAGATCATCTAGTCCAGCTTCATTTGTGCTCCAAGCAGAGCTGGCTTCAAAGCTAGATCAGACAAGGCTCGTGGCCTTGTCCAGTTAAGTCTTGAAAATTTCCAAGGATATTCATTACTTCCTTAATATAGAGAAAAGGGGGATTCAAGATGGGTAAGTATTTGTTCTTTTATCCTGTTGACAAGAAATGGCTGCATAGTTGACAAGATTTTGAGAAACTCATATTAGGCACTAAGTCTTTGGGCACCACAATGGATAGTGTCCTCATATTAAGCATTTGTGTGTTTTTAAAATCCTGCCTTGATTGACTTTCCCAGAATCACCCAGAAAATTCTTACTAAAATTAAAATTAGATCTTAATAGTTCAATGCCCTCATTTTAAGACTACCACTTGTTCAGTTTTCAACAACATGGAAAAGAACAAAAGTTGTTTATCTTGAGAGGGATTTATATTTTGGTACTGGGATATTTTTTCCTCTCTCCCTCTCAACAGCTAAAACTTGGGCTGCATTTATAATATAAGCCAATCTACATTTTGAATTTTGCCATGAATTTAATTCGGTGTCCAACATAAATGAGCAGACGTTGTAGCAGAACTATATTTCCTTCAGAGAAATAATTTAAAATTAGAACGTCAGAGTTCAGAGTGATAACTTAGAATTTATACTCTTTAATGATGCTTTTTGGCTTCACAATTGGCAGGTTATTAACACAGGAATAAAAGTCTGGTCTCGCAACAGTGATGGTGAGCAGTTTGGATGTGCCTTCAGATTAGCACAAGAGGTAATTAAATAGCATTATATTTTCAAAGGAGGAACATTGGTTTGCTGTAGAACCTAGAACGCATCTGGCAGAAGTTTTGTCAAATTGACAATTTTTATTTTCAGTGTGGTTTAAAACGTTGTGAAAATTGTTTCTTGTTATTAGCTAAAACAGATACTGTTTTTAACTTTTTTTCCTTTAGAAAGCAAAGATTGCATTTTGAAATGTATTTATTTATTTAACAGGGAATATATACCCTATACCCGTTCATTCATGCAAGGATTATAAATGTCTGTATAGAAGATGTTAAAATTCTGCTAACCCAGGAGAATCCATTCTTAAGTAAATTTAGCAGTGAAACACAGAAGAAAGTCAAAGATATGGGTAAGCTTTCTGGTTTGCGTTACGACAAAATGAGCATTCTGTAGTATTTTTAAAACATGGAAGACTATGAAAATCCAGGCATACAAGCTGTATTCGCTAAAGACGTTGGCTAAATTTATCTTAAACGTAGCTGTTAATGGGTTCGTTAAATAATACAAAAGCCCAGTGTGCTGCTGGAGATGGCAGACCTCTCTGGTCACAGCCTTTGAGGTATATGAACTCCAGAGAACAGAAGACTTTCCAAACCTGTGACTTCTGTGAAGCAATACTGATGAACAGAGGTTTGTGATAAACTACTGATTTTTGCTCCTGGAAGTGCTCCAGGTCAAGCTGTTTTCGTGGCATCTGCAGTGGTTTCTCATGATTGTACGTATCAAGTTTATTCAGATTTGATTTTCTTAACTATGGGAAGCCCTGTCTACTCCTCATAATAGATTTTTTTTTCCCTTCCATACTGGATGCTTGTAAAAATTCAGCCTATTTTTCAGTCTTTATATCATTTTACTTCCAGTCATCATAGTTACTTATACTTTGGTGTTTGGTAAGGCAAAATGTACTGGATAGAATAGCTGAAGAACAGTTTTTTCTAATGTTTGGGCTAGCGTGCTCTCATGTTCCTTTTACTTAAGTAAGGTTTCTTGCTAGAGTCACTGTCAGGATTAATCCACTTCATGATTTTGTGTGTTTTGTTTGTTGTTTTATATTTTTGGCAGTTTTTTATATAAAATGTATATGAATACTTTGGTATGCAAAAAGAATAAAAATTGGAATTGTCTGTAGTTTACTGTATTCATGTAGAGAACTCCTGCCCAGGCGTGACACCATGTTGTGTGCCTATCTAAAAAGTGCTAGTTGTCTTCAACACTTTCAAATTACAATCATTTTAACTTTATACCAAGTAACATGTCCTTTTTGTTCCCCCTAGCAATGGGAAGTATAGTTCTGAAGTATGACCCTGACCCTGAGTAAGTAGATGGATTGCTCTTTGTTTATGTACTTTTAAAATTTGAACAAGACTTTCTTTTCACTCAGAAAAACCAAATGGAGGCATAGAGATGCAGTGAGGTCAACAGTAAAGTCAGTGCCAGAAGGCTTCTTTCCCTGTTAATTCTTTGTATATTCTATCTTGCCTGTCTACTGTCAAAAACAATTGTAGGATTTAGCCCTGTAAAGGACAGCCAGTAGTTTTGCCCATCGGGACTCCACAGTGTCACTGCATGCGATTCTTTGTTTCCCTGTTGACTGCAGAGTTTGGAATAGAGAAAGCTAAACCTCTTTATTGTTCATTTTTGTTGACGAAGCAGTATTAGAAGCTCTTGAGTTCTTATTAAATGTAAACTTATATCCCACTGCTGCTTAAATTAATTTTGAAAATATCAGAACCAGAACATTGTTTTACACGGTGCTGAAATCAGTAGCTTCAGGTTTTGGGGGGTTTTTTGCTTGCTTGCTATAGGTGAGCAGGTACTTGTTTAGATTTTAAACTTAAGAACAATCTACTTCCATCTTCTATAAATAGGTATAAAAAGCGTATGCTATTAAAAGATTATGCATGTAATTATAAAGGTATGGCTATAAAATAAGATTTCAAGATTAATTTGCTCACAGTTAACCCAATGTAACTTTGTTTGTAGGAAACCTGATACTCTTCAGTGTCCCATAGTGCTTTGTGGTTGGCAAGGAAAGACATCGCTCCGTGCCTTTGTGCCCAAGAATGAGAGACTTCATTACCTGAGGATGATGGGAGTTGAGGTGTTTAAAGCAAAGAGGAAAGAGGAAGAATCAGAAAGTAAAACGGAGGAAGAAGTTGAGTACAAGCAAGCACAACTGGAGGAAGGAATGGATGTGGAAGATAAAGAACGTGATTTAGTCGCAAAAACGGAAGGAGAAACAGGTGAAGAATCTTCCCACACTCCTGTGGAAAACAGTGCTATGGAAGTCGAAAATAAAACTGAGGATTTAGATCAACTTAGTAAAAATGCCAACAATCATGTAAGCTAGGAAAGCGAAGACTGATATAAGTAGTGTGGATGATTAAGTTTCTCTCTCTGTCGTCACTTAACAGCTTCCATGAGGCTCACATCCAGACTTTTGCCTTTAGCTGGGAAGTTAATTTTAAAGTTTCAGTTGGAATATGATGTTCTCTTTTTAAAGTTTCACCTCTTTTATCTTTTAAATGAAAACTAAAGAGATTTCTCTTTACATCTGTCTTGTTTTTAACATTTTCAGCTCTGTATTACCAGTGGGTTTGTGTGTCTGTTGCTGGCAATGGACCGTGCACCAGTAAAATCTGAAGGCTATCTTGGAGATAGAATAATGATACGTGCAAATAATCGCCTGTCATACTGGTCTGAATCTTGTGCAGAATCCTTTCACAATAAAAAACTGGGGTTTAATTCAAAATGTACAAGCTCTAGGAAAGCATTTTTTTTCCGGTTAAGACCACTTATCCCACCTCACCTCCAACCAGAGAATGATGCTTATATAGGTTTTTTAAAGGATAAGGGTGTGAGTATCCACACAGATACATGTATAGGTTATATCTATAGCAGCCATTAGTATAAAATACTGGTTCATGTTTACTTAGAATAAAGCAATGCCCAATGTCCTGAAAAAGAAATGCACGATGTGTATGTATGTGTATCGTCAGAGACTGATGTCCAAGATTATTCTTCAGCATGGCAAATCCCTTGTTAGGGAGAGCTAATTCCTGAAGATCTACTTGAGAGCACTTAACGTTGAGCATGCTTCAAACTCTTGTCCAGAAATTTGCCTGGTTAAGAGCCTGTGACTCTCCCTCGGTCCTACTCCAGTCATTTGGGTTTGTTGTCATTTCTTCAAGTGGGAGTCATCTCTAATTTTTGCAAGATATGTGTTTATAGCTGAAATAATAGTTTAAAAACAAGGGTGGTGGTGTATATATTGTTGTAGAGAAGATGCTTAAAGGATGTTACTTAGGTCTAAGAGGGTGATTCACTTAATCAAACTAAAAAATAGTTAGATGGCTGTCTCAGAATTTCATAATATAAATTCCATCCTTTGTGGCTTAGCTTCTGCAGTACTCTTTGTCCTTGTATCAAGTTGACCTAAAAGGAGAGTGACTGGTGGTACAAGATGAGTATTATCCTCCAGCAGGACTATGCGATGCAAGTATTTCACAGACTGTGCTGGCTGTCAAACTGAGTTTTACGATTCTTATTTTTACTGGCAAAGTCCTAATATGGCTTGGATCCATTTACTTTACCTTCCTACAACAGACTTTCTGATGCTTGCCCTTGGACTACTTCATCAAGGGGAGTACTCTTGAGGGAGAGGTATAAAACTGAAATAATGACATGTCCTCTGATAGGATATTAAGTTTCATGCATTGAAAAAGCATTGACAGGAGTCCTTTTCCTCTTGAGAATCCATAAAAGTAGGTTAATAAAAATTCAGTTCTTGCCCTTGTATTTTGCTTGTTGGAGTTAAACACTCTATCATATCTTTTCAAAACTAAGTTTTGGTTCATTCTTTGAAATGATGATTGTGATTGGACAGGTTCTTTTTTGGCAGCTCCATATGCTGAAGAGCAATGTAGCAGAATTTTCTTTTGAATACAGGTTATACTAATAACATTAAATTCTTTATGAGGTATATAAGAAAAAATTTCTTCCATGGCAACTTCAAGTATTTTCATATCTTTGCATTTATCCTGGAGTATCAGAAAGGGAGGAAGAGTGGAAGATGATTGTAATTTTTTAAAGTCCTCTTCAACATCACGCAGTCTGCAGTATTCACCACTGAAGAGGGCCATTAATTTATGAACCTTATTAAAGCATAAAAATACCAGAGGTTAAGTATTAAAATTCTGTTAAAAGTTCCGAACTTATTTTGAATGATGTGTGCTATTGTCTCTATTGGTGCCCTTGAGCATTAGTTTTGCTTCAGTCAGTGACTCTACTAAGGATACAATTCTGTGACAGGTTATTCTGATAGGAATGCTTGTTGATACAGCTGATTCAGCTAATTTAATCAGCAATAAGTTAACTATAAAAAGAGAGACGGTCTTGTTAAGTTTTCTGATCCAGCTCACCACTGAGCTGTCACTGGCAGACTAAGATGAGAGTAGGAAACTTTTACCTGGAAACTAGAGAAAAGTGGGGGCTATCATCTTACATCACCTTAAACTGATTAGATCAGCTATGACTTAGACTTCTAATAAAATAAGAGTCCCCATCTGCATGATCTTAAATGCTTTGAGTAATGCTTTTTTTCCGCATTATCTTCTCTTGGCTTTTTGGATTTTTTTTTTTTCCCTGTCAAGTGCAAATGACAGATTTAAGTCAAGAAATTGTAAATCTAATTATTTTTGGTGCTGGTGAGTGGTTTTACTCCACATCTCCAGAAAATGCGAGAGATTGCAGATATTTAATAAGAGAAATAAATAAATAATACTATTTTGCTTATGCCAGTTGCTCTATTCCAGTTATTTTTGTTTTGATTTCCAGAAACCAATATGCCCAAAATTCTAGATAGTGGCTGAAAAGCCTGTCCTAGCTTCCCAGGTTGGTTGCCCTTTGAAACAGGGAGCGTTTTGGCTATTTTTCTCTGCTGAGAATTGTAGTATGTGCAACTGTAACAAATAATTCTAATGGTCAGATGGCTGAACCTCCAGTTGGCTGGATTTGAGCGTAATTATGAAAAGAAGACTAAAGAAAAGTGTTAAACAGTTTTGTTAAGTCTGAGAATAGAAGCCTTTTAAATGACCAGATTTGAAGTTCATAAATAATGAAGTTCATATAAGCAGGTCCTATTAAATGTGAGAGTTTTCTGCAGTAATTCTGCCATTTTTAGCCATGCAGGACTCCAAATGTTTGCACTGATGGCAAGTTTTTTATGTATAATAGAGGAAACCAGAAAAAGAAATCCTTGCATCTAAGAGCATCCTCTCATTAGGTTCTGCTTAGAGGTGCCTTTAAGAGGAGCTGCTAGATCTTTAGGAAATTATCCATTGCCTGCCTGAAAAATCCGGAAAGAAAAGGAGGGAGAACACTAGACAGATACTCTTTGCAGCTTTGCCTTTAGCATTTACCTTATGTTAGTCATTTTTTTGCATTTTGTTGGAATTTTGATGCTATAGTTTGCCTCAAAATTAACATGCCGTAAGCCCTTGAGGTGAATTTCTTTTCCTTAAGCATGAGTCCTATTAAAAGTCGATGGGACTTCTCAAAGCATTTATATCCGTCAAAATTTTCAACCTATAAACTTCAAATTTAGCCTTACGTAGTAAAAGGAACCACTTGAGCTCCTGTAACTATCCTTATCCTAGACTGCAGCAAAGGAAAATTGATGCATTTCTTCCAATGGCAAAACTCCAGCACAGGAAAAAAGCAGTCGTATTGCTGACAGAGTTGAGAACAGCACGGGGTCTTGTAGTGTTTTCTTTCTCGGGCCAGTCTTGTAAAGAAGCTAAAAAAATAGGCATAGACAGAATAGCAAGTCTGTTATTTCCAATAAAAGTCTAGATAGTCTGTTGGCTTTGTAAAGCAACTACTTACAGTGTCATATGTTTTTGCCTTTTCCTAAAGCATATATTGTAGCCTAAACAAAAGTAGGTAACAAAGGCTAGTAAAACTGGCTAGAAAAGAGCTCAAATACAGAGCTGTCACAAGAGAGTGGCTGCCTGTTTGAAAGGCTGAGGTGGCGGCCTGGAAAATAACCGTGATGCCTCAATGCACCCCCATTGCCATATAGGAGCTACGGAAGAACCATGGCCACCATGTTTTAAAGGGTTTAGCAGCGACACTGAAATTCAACCAGCTGTATGTCGATGCCTGCAACACGAGTGTGCAGAACTGGATTAAAAACTACCTCACTGGGAAGCTTTTGCTAACCAAAATACAGGAGGCATCCAGCAGTTGCATAAAGGAGCTCAAGGACCTTGCTGTTTCAAGCGCTGGTAAGGGCACGTTTCAGAACGGCAGAGGGCAGCTCGACCTTGTTTGCTGGGTGTTTGTACCCACGTAGCTTCAAGCGGCTTTCTAATGCCTGTGCTGATAGTTGTATCAAAGCCATAAGTAGATTTAATTATGCAATTTGTTGTTCTGGGTTTCTTAAACCCGAGGCTTATTTCTGTACTATACTCTTGTTTATTTCTTACAGTATCTACTTGAGTTATAAATAAAAAAGAAAACTTTTCTTATTTCTGCCTTTGGAGTTTATATCAAGTTACACATAACAGACTGTTGGCTATATAAATAACAATGTATAACCCTGTTTGGTTTTGATGTTGTTGTTGTTGCTTTTTGGTTTTTTTTATGAGTTATCCAGAGGAATTTTATGTCACTTATGGAAAAGAGATCACTGTCATTTATATTTATTCTGTCATCTGGAGTTTGGCTTCCTTCCAAACAGAACAGCAGAGTAAAACTATTTGATACTCATCTAGCATTTATAATGCATCATCTCCTGTCGTTACTCAAGCAGCAAATATTTTTGTCTTCCAGGGTTATGCTAAATGTACAGAAGCCAACACATTTGCCAAAAACAAAGAGAATTATAGCTTGCACAACTCTACAGTGTATTGCTTCTTGATACAATGACATTTAAAGGGGATCTCCATCCTTGGAGGTTTTGAAGAGTGAGCTAAATGAAGCTATGGCTGTCTTGATTTCATGTTGGTGACAGTCCTGCTCGCAGCAGGAGGCTGGGCTGGAAACCTCCGGAGGTCCCTTCCAACTGACATCCTGTACGGCTCCAGGGAAGTTCTAAAATAAAAAAGAAATCAACAGATTGAACCTACTTTTGAAGCCCTTGTGGAAGATTTTAGCTGTGCATTTGAAATCAAGCTGATAGGTGAATGGGCTAAGCCTTTTTTGTGGCTTCTGAATGTTTAGTCTCTTATTCCAACATGTGATCACTAACTGCTCATGTCTAGTTTTTAGGGGCAGATTTGAGGCGCTGGCATTTCCTGAAGACGTACGAAGTAGTCGGATCTGCTTTTGATTATGCTTTGAACATATAAAATGTTCAGTACTCTGAAAAGTCGAGCACCCCCTGTATCAGGGAGCCTACCTGTTTAAACTTCAGCTCTCCCGCAGTGCAGTAGGCATAACACTAATACTCTCAGCGCCAGTGATAGTGAAAGCAGGCTGAATGGGCAGCTCTAAGGAACAATGGTGAGGAGCATATGAAGTCCCTGATTTTGCTCATGTAAAATTTCATGTCCCATGAAAAAGACTTGATTGTGGAAGCTGATCAGAGCTAAGGTCGAAGAACATCCTGTAAGCAGAGGAGATGCGAGTTAAAATTGTCTGGAATTGCCTGATTTATTTACTTCTTGACTTTACAATGAGGAATTTCAGGAATCTGGTAGCCCAACAGAGATGAGGCTGCTACAGCTACATGTTCCCAGTCCAGCTAGTAGCAAGGCTGAGCAGGTATTCCCACTAGGCATGCACACACACACAGACACACACACAGACACACAGACAGACAGACACACACACACACACACAGAGGCAAAATTCTTATATACATATATACATATACACATATACATATACACATGGCCAGCCACACAGATCAGCACAGACAAAACAGCACTCACATGAATGCAAACAGCCTGAGCCTGTTCCCCTTGCTGGCTAATCAGAACAAAAGCCCATTAGTGGAAAATATATATGTATACATGCATATATACAATACGGATCCCTCCGGTAGCTGGCCTTAGACACTCAGGCTACCCAGCAGCTGGCCCCTGGATGCCTCATGCACACGCACACATGCACACACACACACACACACACAAGGGTCACTCTGCTAGCTGGTCCAGACTTACAGCCTTACCAGTAGCAGACCCTCAGATTGCTAGTCTCTTTAGTAGTTGACTTGGACCTCCTGATCTGTCCAGTAGCCAACTCTCAGACCCTCTGATCCTTGACTCCCAGGCTTCTTATTCTAATCACTAGCTGGTCCTGCTTGATGTTCGCTAGTGACTGCCTTTGGTTCCTCCGCTAAACATCCCACAGATAATGGGACCTCCTCACTGGCTTGCTTCCATATCTCCCTTGTACTGAGGAGCCCAGAACTAGACACAGCCCTCCAGGTGAGGCCTCACCAGGGCTGAGTAGAGGGGGAGGATCACCTCCCTCAACCAGCTGGCAACCCTCTGCCTAATGCAGCCCAGGATATTGTTGGCCACCTTTGCTACAAGGGCACATTGCTGGCTCATGGTCAACTTGTTGCCCACCAGCACTCCCGGGTCCTCCTCTGCAGCAGGTCAACCCCCAGCCTGTACTGGTGCATGAGATTATTTCTCCCTAGGGGCAGGACCCTGCGCTTGCCTTTGTTGAACTTCAGGAGGTTCCTCTCCGCCCAGCTCTCCAGCCTGTCCAGCTCCCTCGGAATGGCAGCACAGCCTTCTGGCGTGTCAGCTGCTCCTCCCCGGCTTAGTATCATCAGCAAACTTACTGAGGGTACCCTCTGTCCCTTCATCCGGGTCACTGATGATTTTGAACAGGATTGGACCCAGTATTGACCCCTGGGTTGCACCATTAGTCGTCATCTTTCATGTGTGGATTATCTTTAATGTAAAGATATCTACTTTTCCAACTCAAAATGTATATGTCAATGCAGAAAGCAGTTGGAACTTGTGGAAATGCCTCATCACCTTCACTCAGAGGACTAATAACTTTTTGTAAACTTATGGATTATGGAGGCAGAAAATATGTTTCTCAGCTCTGTCTGCAGTAGAGGATGGAGTCAAAGGGCAGGGCTACATCATATTTTAAAAAGGAACAGCCAGAAGCTCGCAGATCCATCCACCCCATAACACACATCTGTCCTGCAGGCAAAGAGTATTTGAGTGCTTTAAGTCTTGCTGTCTTGCACAATGGATGTACTCTTGGGGACAGTTTCAGAACGCTAATGAAACTGCAGTACAAATTGCTTCTCATAACCTCTTTTGAGATCCTTTTTGGATTTCTGAGGGGAGAGTCTGCCTTAATTTGAAATCCTCTTAAATCTACAAGATAGGATTTTGGGTAATGGAGTTTCTGATCCCAAGGAGAGTAGAATCCAATCAACCACTTCTCCCTGCTAAAAAAAGGATAATTAACCAAAAGAATAACTCTGACATTTGGATGGCTGGAAGATAACATTTTTCCTTAGGTTTGGTCCTTACTAAGGCCTCTAGATAGGCAGGGTAACCCAGTATGTGCACTATTTAGTGTAAGGCCCTAGCAATACCTTTAGATCTGTCTATTTGGAACAGATTACCTGTAATGCTAATTAAAAAAAACTCTCCAACCCGAGGAGAAAGAGGTTATCTTACTGCTTGGAGCTTTCATCCTCTCCCACAGCTAGCAGGCAGAACTGTTACTGGCCCATAACCAGATAGCTACTTTTTCTGAGGAAAGCTCTCTCTGTCTTTTGTAATGTCATTTGTACCCATTGTTTATAGGGTATTAAACATTAATTCACAGAAATGCTGAGTCCTCTGAGTTGGCAGACACCTTCTTCCTGCACTGTTGTTAACAGGGAGAAAACAAAAGGCACTCCTAAATCTTCCGAAATGGTTGAACATCACTACTTTTCTTCTTAAACCTGCCGTTTGCATAGGCACACACACACACACACATATATATATCTGTACATATATCTTTATAGCCTATCCTTTCTTAGCTTTGAATCTGAGGGTTTTTTAAAGCATAGAGGGATAAGTGCGCTCAGCTGGTCTGAACTGATTTACACCTTAGTAATATCTTCTGTTACACTTTAGCAATATTTTCTTGGGGGGGGAGGGGGCGAGGGCAGTTTAAATCAATCACTGCAAAATGAGCTATTTGAATTTGAAGTTTTATTATTGTAATACAGAATAATTTTGAGCTTGTGAAAGGTGCCCAATTGACAGCCTAGCAGCTAAGCTGATCGTTCCATTATTTCCTGGCCCCTCCCTTTCAGCCTTTTTAAGACATTTAAAGAGAGGAGTTCTTTTCTAACCTTCCATGACTTTACTCTTTTTTCACAGGTTTTTCCACAATCATAGTCATCTGAGGATGCCTGCTAACAGTTTTGAGACAGTGGGAGCCAGTTCTCTAGGTAGCTTTAGATGATGCTCATCACACTTGTCTAATTTCAAGGCATCCATCTTATTTCATTACATCTAACTTATTTCATTATTCTCTGTCCTGCTCTTTCCCTGGTCACTGATATCTTTGTTGTGATATTATTTGCATGAACGTTCTCATCTTTTTAGAAGGCTGGTTCATGTTTTTAGGCATATTAGTTATTATTACACTTTAGAGAGGATAGATTCAAAAGAAGCAATATGCAATCCAGCTTGAAATTATCTGCTGATTCTTTTCCCTTAAATATATTGACCGACGTTTTCTTCAAGCCATTCAACAGGGTAACAACAAACTGTGCACACAATGATTTCTTGCAAGCCTGTAGTTGTCTTGCTAAGGTACATCTCATTTTACACGTATTTTTTCCTTGTATGTGTTTATTCTTTTACATTCCTCTTTAGTAAACAAGAAGTTTTCACTTCTACAATTCCTTTTTTCTGCTTGAGAGTCCAGCAATGGAAGACCACCAACTTTGTTAGGAGGCCGGAGCACATGCCCTGTGAGGACTGGCTGGGAGAAATGGGTTTGTTCAACCTGGAGAGGAGGTGGTAGGGGAGATCTAATTGCTGTCTCCAAATAAGTGAGAGGTGGCTATAGAAAAGGTAAAGCCACTTGTCAATGCAAAGTGGTAGAACCAGCAGCAAAGGGCACGCGCTGCAGAGAGATTCCAGCTGGACATAAGGGAAAAATTCTTCCCCGCAAGAAGAGTTAAGCGCTGGGGCAGGTTGCCCAGAGAGGTGGTGGATCTCCATCTTTGGAGATGTTCACAGCTTGGCTGGATGAGGCCCTGAGCAACCTGGCCTGGAAGTTAGCCTCGCTTTGAGCAGGGGATTGGACCAGATGACCTCCACAGGTTGATTCAAACCTTAATCTTTCTACAATTCCATGATCACTTCCTGGACGAAAGCCTTAAGGAACGTACAGACAATCACAGCCAACTGCGGATGTTGTCCTTAATACTACCTTTAGACTTCCCCTGGCAATTCAGATATCTAAGTACTGCATTTAGTGATTAGGGAAGCATGTGTGCTTGTGACAATCTCTAGACTGCAATAGTTTAACAACACAGCCACTGGCCCCCCTACTGACTCTATGTAATATTTCAATATTGCTAGTGCTTTTCATTTAATGTCATCCAAGTAAATT